GACTCTTGTATCAGTAATCACAGGACACTGTGCCATTGGCACTCACGCCAGGAGACTGGGTCTTGGATATAATGACTACTGCAGAAGTTGTCATAATGAGGAAGAAGATGAAACGATATCACATCTTCTTTGCTTTTGCCCCACGTTTACCGAGAGTAGGGAGAATCACTTTGGAGCTCCCTTTCTGGCTGGTATGGAGGAGCTTTCAGGGATAGGCTTGAAGAATATCCTATGCTACATAAATGAAACCGGTTGGTTTAGATCTGGAAGCAGGGAGTGAAATTATAACAAACTCCTGTGACCACTAGGGTAACACAACGGGACCAACCTTAAATGGACCCAAGTGAGCTGCTCATGAAGCAGCTGCCCTCGATACCTAACCTAACCTATACTATAGAATAGTATACATTTATATACAAATAAAATACGATAATTTGTTTAAAAGTTATTTAAAAAATATTAAAATGTCATAAAACGTACAAAGTCATTTTTCAGGAAACGATGTTCTTTTGGGTAATGCCTGTTTTGTAGTAATTGAGCGATATGTATGTACTTATATATTATACATTAATGTGAAATGAACCACAAGCTTTGAAAAATCATTGAAAATATTGAATTCAGGAAGATAACAAAACATTTTATACCTATATTGTTAAGGTATATATATAAAATCAATTAGTATTACAATTGTTTGCTTTTATTAGTAGGAAATTTATGTAAAAAAAGAAAATATTGTAAAGTCAATAATCAAAAATTTTAAAGAGCTGATGGCCATAGCAGCTAGTGCTCTTTAACTATAATTATTTTATTATTATTATGTATGTCGAGAGAAAATGCCTGTAACTTGATTAATTTAAATCTAAATATCTAGAAGTTAGGATTTATTTCAAATATTAAAAAATAAAATTTCAACGATAATATTTTGCAAAACAGAATCAAGAAAGTACAGTTGTTTACAAACATTTACAACGTTTTACATATCGTCACCTGAAACGCAAACGGCCCTAACTAACCGAAAATCCAAAATCGATTTTATTGGTGATTCTAATGTCCACGCCAAAAATTGTACTCCTCCGGCCATAATTATCGATTTTATTGACAGAAAACAAAAGGCCCTATCTACAAAAAATTTAAATATTAAAGGTTAAAAGTCCAATTTATCCATTTTTATATACGCCATTGTCAACTATCATAACAAATGATAGGTTTCACTATTAAACAATTTATTTATTTACTACAAATAAATCGCGTTGATAGAAAAAAATGTTTCAATTTAAATAGTTTTTTGCTTCTCCTGTAAAATTTTAAAAATGTTAGATAGGGCCGTTTGCGTTTTAGGTGACGATATATATTTCCGTCAAGGAAATATATATAAAATTGGTACCGCAGAGCTGGAAAAATAAACGGTCTAATTTTGTCCAGTTAAAACGGATTCTTACTGGATAAAATGGATTTTTTTTGCTATATTTTATTATCAGACCAATTATGAACAATTATTCACGGGAGTTTGTTCCCTTTTACATGCTTTAGATATCGGATGTGATTTGACTTAATTAGCATATTTAAGGCATATTTTCGAGTCTTTAGAGCATATTTTATACTTAGATATTTTGTTTGTGCTTTATTTTTTAATGGTTAGGTTAGGTTGATAGGATGTATACTACATCAAATCCGAAGAAATACACCTAGGCCGATATCGGGCCTGTTGTGCGCTCCAATTCAAGAAAAAAAAATTGTTCACTGAATGTATTATTTTTCCATGTTCAGAAACTCAGTTTCCTGTACATAATTCCTAAGAATCTTCCAATCGGTGTTGGTTAAGAATGTTATTTCCGGAATAACATCACTTCCAAGATACTTGGATCTAACTTCGACGAATGCCTGACAATGGCAAAGAAAGTGCTCCAGAGTTTCACTGTCCTCTCCACATGCTCTACATTCGTCTGAATTCGCACGTCCAATTTTGTATAGATGTGCTCGTAATCCTGTGTATCCACTGAGAATACGTACCATCATACTAACCTCAGACTTGCTCATTTTGAGGAGATTTCTCGTCTTGCTCTCATTAGGGTCACCCCATAGAATCTTTGTGGTTCTACCCACCGTTTCATTATTCCAAGAGGCCTTATGGGATTCTCTCATCCATATTTTTAATTCAGCTTTTGTTGCGTCGAATGGTTTTGCGTTTGTCAGGTTAACTACATCGAGCTCCCTTCCCTTTAAAGCTATTACATTCGCCCTTTCGTTGCCGACTACTCCCGAGTGGCCTGGTACCTGATGTGAACCTTACCTCTGCACAGTGAGACATTTAGCACTTTTAGAACGACATTAATCAAATCTTAGTGATATTGAGTTCTTATTTTAGTTACAGTTAGCAAACTATTGGCCAAACGCTCCACATAATAATCAGCACGATAAGACGGCTGCCACGCCCATTTTTTACAAGTATATATTGAATAAAAATTAAATTTTAGGTCGCATGTATCTCAAAACTTTTGCAATCGATTTTGAATTTTTATATATTTTTAGAAAGACAATTTTATACAGATTGCTATTTATTTATAAGAAAATGCAAAATATAAATATTTGTAGCACAGTCTCTGCAAAAAGTTAATAAAACCCATTTTCCTATTTAAGCACATTTTCAACGTTTAGATACTGTTTTAAACGGGTTAGCATTATCCGATTTGTCTCAAATGCTCTGCATTGCAGTTTTAGTGCATGCTCATCTATACTTTTTAAAAACATGCTTTATATAACGACCCTAATGAATATTAGGGTAGTCACTCTTAGAAATTTTTATCAAATTGTACAAATATTTGCAAATAATTGAATGCAACATTAACAAACAATTTATACTCTAATTAAAATTTAAAATAAAATTTAAATTCCGCGGTTTTTACAAAGAACAAAATAAATTTATAATCTATGAATTTAAATCTGGAAATAAACAGAAAATTTTACTTTTTAAATAAAGCTATGACACCTGATTGGCTTAAGTAATTGTTTTTTTAAAGCACTAATTGTGGGCTAATATATGGTGCCAAGGCCAAAATTTATGTATACCCCTAACGTGAGTTTACACTTAATTAAAAAAAAAACATATTAAATTCTATAGGACACTCTATTTTCTTTTGAATATCTCTGAAGATCGGAAAAGATCGCAGCCAATTTTCATATATATGTTTCTATAGAAAATTTCCTATGCAAGGGTTATAATTAGATAACTGCAATTGGCTGCAGTCATTAGATCTATTCAATTAAAAATATAATTTTTAAATATCTTTTTATTATTAATATTATTTTTCCTTAGAGTTAAAAATAAAACCTTTAAAATTGAGCTTTTGTCTAAAAAATCTTTGCAGAATAATCTTGAAGTACTAAATTATAATACAGTGAAGAAACTATATAAATATCTGAAATATTTACCAAGATATACGCATTCAAAATTAATATGCCGCTTCAGGAATATTACAAGAAAATTATTTTATTTTTAAAAGTAGCAACTTTGAGCACCTATATTTCGGGTTAAAGGAACTCTGCAATATTTTTAGTTATTTTTCTATAGTATATGGAATGTTTACTGTTAACTATTACAACAAGCAAGACAATTGGAAAGCGTTTAATTTTTTATTTTTGTCGTTCTAAAAGTACCAAATGTCTCACTGTGCTCTGGGAGAGTATTCAGTTAAAGCTTTCTTACAATCCAATACGGTCTTAGAATTAATTCTATCACCTGATATCGCACTAATTGCCTTCTGGCTGTCGGTAAATATATTAAGCCCTGTGGGCGCCATATTTATTCTAATCCAATTTACACATTCCGTTATTGCTCGTACTTCTGCCTGGAATCTTGTGTTATAATTAGGTAAACGGTGGTATATTTCTGTTTCTGGGTCTTCAATATAGAACCCCAGGCCCACTTTGTCCCCTAATTTAGAGCCATCCGTGTAGCAACGGATTCCTACTGGTATTTGCTCTAATGTTCCGCTTGACCAAGACATTCTATCTAGGATTAGCGTTTCAAAGTTTCCGACATATTCTGTGTCTGGTATGCGATCAGGCACGTCCGATGAATGTGTATAACCTTCCAATGTGTCCAGTTTACATTGATGACGTGTCCTACAACCGTTTTTGGCCAGTTCGCCTAAAGTAAAGAGCCGTTCGGCTGTAAGCGCCGCCTCATATCTTATATATGTTTCAATGGGTGGAATATCTAGCAACGTTTCCAGAGCCTTGGTTGAAGTAGTACACATGGCACCACTTATACCCAAGCAGCATGTACGCTGAACTGCCTGTAGTAGTTTGATATTACACTTTTTGTCCAAAGCAGTCCACCAGATTATTGAAGCATAAGCTAGAATTGGTCTAATTACACTTTTATAAAGCCAATTTGTCATAGTAGGACTAAGACCCCATTTCACGCCTATGGTTCTCCTACATATCGCCCAGCACCGATGTGCCTTGTTGATCCTATCCTCTTTATTTTTTAATAATTTTTAAAAACATTTTTTGTTTTGAACTTTATTTCCTTTTTTATTTTTTTTAAATGTTTTAAAATTTTGAAAAAAAAAAAAACGTTTTTTAAGATTAAAAACGCAAAAATCTATTAATCTATTAGAATGAATACAATTGTGTCAAACTTTGTGGTTTGAAATTTGTTTTTTGGGATTGTGATTATCTGAACATAAAACGAAATCCTATTAAACTAGTTCTTCAAACTATGAGATGAATCAATTATCAAAATGAAATCTTGTAGGATGAAATATGACATTAAATGTTTTGATTGCATATTTCATGGCATTTTCTATCTTTTTGCGTTTTTCGATGTTAAAAAATTATTAAAACTTTAAAACACTTTTTAGAGCATATTTTTGATTTCCCTGGTGATAACATTATATATTATAAGAATATTCTTTAAATAAACATACCTATCTAATTTAAGTTAAAAGTAAACATAAATATTACATATTCAATAGTTTTTGTGTTTTTTATTTCAGTTATAAAGTAATAAATACTTTTTAAAGAAATTAAACAAACAACAAAGAGAATATTAACTGGCAATTGTAAAAGTGAGTGTTTAATTATTTCTCGTCTGTTCCTGTCTACCCATTTGAAACAAAGATTAATTTAGTCTTCTTTTGGTTAAAACAAGTTTTTTTCAACAAGTTTTCTTTGTTCAAAACAAAGAACAATACCAACAACAAAAACACATACAAATATCCGTAAAATCAAGTTTAAAGGCAAAAAATAAAGAAAACAAAATGCCAGCTGATTCAGTTTCAAGGTATGTTAAGAAGAGTCCTCATATCAAGGGGTTAAAACAAACAAACTGACTTACTGACAGACTGACTGTGTGTTATAATTTGTTTCACCTCTTTGTCCGTTTCTCTCTGTTACTTGTAATATTGTAACTACGTATTAATTGACTGAATAACACAAAACTTTTTATTTTACATACCTACATATGTAAGTTTAAAAATTTCAAGTTTTATTGTATGATTAATTTAACAAAAAGTTTAATGAAAAGTAAAATAATTGAATATTTTTAGAATGAATTCAAATGGAGGTTCCGGTGGCAATGACTCTGATATACCCGAAAATCTTCTAAGTACATCTCCAGGATCTTCAGGTCTACGTTCACGTACTGATAGCGAAAGTTCCGATAAGTATGGTTTTGTTGAATATACTTAAATATGTAAATTAAGGATTTATAATATAAAAAACATACCTATGTAAAAATGTTTAGGTTACTACGCTTTGTTTTACCTAGCATGGATGGAAGTCCCCCTAAAGTGATGACCCTTAATGAGGTAGCAGATGTCGTTAAAAATATTCAAAATATGGAATTAGCTCATGAAATTGCTCTTAATCCGGAATTTAAATTACAACCATATGAACCGCCAGAAAGTAGGTAAGTTTAAAATAACAAGTTCTAAATTAAAAAATTACGATATACTACATACATATGTACATTTTTAACTTTATTGTTTTCTTATAAAATTGTTAGCCTGGAGAAAGTTATTAAGGAAACAATGCACAAAGTATTTTGGGACAATTTGCGTTTACAACTGAACGAAAATCCACCATGCTACGATTATGCCATAAGACTTTTAGGAGATATTAAAGAATGTTTTCCCCAGATTTTGTCACCAAACAATAAACGTGCCTTAGAGCATATAAATGAAATTCTTGACGAGTCCGTAATACGTCAACAAGCTGAAAAGGGTGTTCTTGATTTTAGAAATTATGCCAACTTCGTTATACAGATAATGGCGAAATCGTGCGCTCCTGCTAGGGACGATGCCATAAAAGAGTTGACACAAATTGAAGATGTTGTTGACACATTCAAGGGTATTCTTGAAACGATGACTCTGATGAAAGTCGATATGGCAAATTTTCTTCTCGATTTTGCTCGTAACGATATAATGGCCAATTCGGTGGAATATGAAAAACAAAAATTTCAAGAATATTTAGAGTACTATAAATGTAAGTCTTCTATTACGAGAATAATAGCTATAGAATAGAATTAATAGCTGTTTCATGTGTATGTATATATGTATATATCGTCACCTAAAATGCAAACGGCCCTATCTAACATTTTTAAAATTTTACAGGAGAAGCAAAAAACTATTTATATTGAAAAGTTTGTTTCAATCAACGCGATTTATTTGTAGTAAATAAACAAATTGTTTAATAGTGAAACCTATCATTTGTTATGATAGTTGACAATGGCGTATATAAAAATCGATAAATTGGACTTTTTACCTTTAATATTGAAATGTTTTTGTAGATAGGGCCTTTTGTTTTTGGTCAATAAAATCGATAATTTTTGTTAGAAGAGTCCAATTTTTGGTGTGGACATTTGTTTTGATGCAATACATTAGAATCAACATTAAAATCGATTTTGAATTTTTGGTTAGTTAGGGCCGTTTGCGTTTCAGGTGACGATATACACTAATAATAATATCTTATTTTTCAGTTGGTTTTCCGGCAACCGAAAATTGGCTTAAGCGTAATCGCACCCAAGATGCTAATAATGTCCCAATCAGTGGAGATCAAACAATATCAAATGCCTATATGGAACTTATGGACTGGCCAGAAGATGTAGAATTTCCTGAAATTCTTTCAATCGACAAGGATCGTATCTTAAAATTGGGTCAAAAGGCCAAACGTTTATGTGTTGGAGCATCTCTGATTGCTATATGTTCTGCTGTTCCCATAATATCGCAACGCACAGAAAATCGTACACAATTGGCACAACAAATTGAGATTTTACTTCAGAGTGTTACTAGTGAAAAGTGAGTATATATGATATATTCTGAAGCAAAATTAGAACCATTTAAATCGTTTTGTTAAGCATTTTAAAAATATCAAAGGTTTAGAAAACAAAATTGAAAACTAACTTGATTAGTGATATATACATACATACATACCTATATAAATATTTTCTATAAAAATTTAAAATGCGTAATAAATGCTAAGAATTTGTGAAAAAATTAACTCGACTTTTGGAAAAGAAATTTTGACAACCGAAATGAAAAATGAGAAATCTTAATTTTTTATGTCAAATAAATGCAATGCAAAATAATTAAATAATATGTTCTATAGTTTTATTATTTATTTTACTTAAAGCTGTTATTTTAATAATAAGGCCTAATTTAAAATTATACATATTATTATAAAAAAGCTTCTTTCCATAAAGTTTAGTTTTGTTGTAATTTCTTGTGTAATTTCTATCACGGTATTCATCATATATAATATTGATATAATAATCTCACATTTTAATTCTAAACATTTTGAACTTTACGATATCGATTTAATATTTTAAAAATAATGGAGCAAAAAGTATATTTTAATAAAAATGTTATGTTTTTTATTTCACCTGAATACAATACAGTGTACATATTAATATGAATTGTAAATGACTTTTATAAAAAATGTCAATATAGATTCGAAATTAAGTTTTTCTGTAAATCTGTGACTTCATATCATGCTTCTTAGTAAATATATCGAATTTGCGATTTTTGAGAAAATTAAATATAACTCTGAAAAAAGGAAACTATAAATTTTGTTATTTTCATCTAATTTTAGAACGATTTCTGAACTAATTGATAACATTTGGGAACAAATAAAAACCGTTGTTAATCAGTATTTACAAAAGGAAGACCAATCAATAATGGATGCCTCAGCCGAATCTTTACTCAAAACTCAAATTATGCAAATTGCTAATAAAGATTCGCCCGTACGACAACTTATGTGTAAGTAGATGTTATAAATGAATTTATGTATAAATTTGTATTAATATGTATATTTTAGGGAAGCGCTTACAAACATATTTCCGTTTGACACTTCGCTCGAAAGGTGGTCTACCTCCACCACCGCCTGGATATACTGATTTTAAAACAGAATTGGAAAACTATGCAACTTCCCTTAAACGTGTTATAGCTTATAATCATTCTGTTTTCGGTGAATATTTTCTACGTATACTCACACAACGACAGCCGGAATCCACTAATAATGATTCTAACGAAAGTGCCACCACTTCAGGAAGCTCTTCTTCAGAAGCTAAAACTCAGTCCTCGCAATAATGAAAATTACGCCTATGAATAGAAGAGGAATAGAGTAGATTTTTAAACCAATACATACACCGTTAATCAAAAAAGCCCTGAGATAGAATTTTAGAGCTAACGCGAATTAGTGCATTGGACGAAAATTGAGAATGCGTTACAGGACTTGGTATGTGAATTTAAAAAGTGCACATTTCTTAAAAAATTGAAATACAAAGTTTGTGTACAGTAATATTGAATTGCTGTAAACCTTTTATTAAATTCACTTAACACCAAAAAAATCTATGGCAAATGAATTTTCGAAAAAAGTCGTACGATTGATAACATATACAAATAAATTATATTTAAATACATCATAACAAATATAACATTTTAAAAGTATGAGTTCTAATACATATAGTAATTTCTAATAAAGAATAAATTTATCCCCATTTTGCATGGGTCCTGTTCGGAAATGCATCACTGCACTTCATCTGATGATTGGTTTCGGATTCTTATGTTTTTTTTTTTTTTAATTTTAACATGAAAATAAAGTTCATTACATAAATTAAAATCAAATTAATAACTTTCTAAGGCCTTTATTTACCGTGTTGGCCAATTTTGTGTTGCATTTCCGAACATACTGCGCATAAGATGCAGTGCAGTGATGTATTTTCGAACAGGCCCATACTTAATATATGGAATATTGATTGAACTAATAAATTGAATAATAGACAAACCAATTAACACATTTTTTACAACGTTAATAACAACAAAGGTGAAACTCTTAAAGACAACATACATTTCTTTTAATCATTACTCTGTAGCACTATCTATCGTTTTAAAAGAAACTACTTTAGGATGTGATAGTTAACCGATTCACATATATTTTTCCATCTATCTTATTTTTCAAATAAAACCTAATTATTTATAATAAGTTAATAAGTTATGACTTTTAAAGCCCCAATTAGGTGAATAACGTGTTATGATATTTTGAATGAATATACGCATTATTTTCCTTTGTATGTATATTAGGGATTTCTTTTTTTGGGAGGCATAATACCACAGCACTGCCTTATAGCAAATACTGTCCTGATAATAAAAGGCTATTTTTTAAGTAAATTCGGTGAAAAACATCCCGCACCGAACGCAATTTCTAAAATGCTTTTGTTCGTTATTTTTACTAAAATTATTTTAAAAAATTTCATATTAACGTATACTATTATCTATATCATGCAATGTTATCGCGATTTGTTAGAAATTTCATAACAGGGGTTTTAAAAACAATGTTCTCTGTAAGATAGTGTAATACAAATGCAAAAATGTTGCAAAAAATATTTATTTTTCTCATATAGAAAAAGTAATATTTATACAAAACTTCATCGCCTTTGGTGCGGAAACTTTTTTACGATAGCGAAAAAATATTATCATATTCCATAACATCTGTTCACGGCCTACAAAATCTTGCTATAGTATTTTTGACATTTGCAAAAATTACAAAAAAGTCAAAACTCTAATGTATATCTATTAATATTACTTATTATTAAATAAACATATACTTTATACCCATAATTAATTTTGTATAATAAAATACATAATAAATATATAAAAAACTATAATCAAAATAATCTAACTATAATAAAGATCGTGTTTAATTTATATACATACATATGTATCTGTGTATACTACATAGATTGCAATAAATTTATAGGTAAGACATTAGATAACAAATTGCGCAATGTATGTTTGAGTATATTTCTCAAATTTGATACTTGTTGAAAAAATTTTAAAAAATTTGAACTTTGAACCTCGATGAAATCTAAACCGTAATAAATTTGGAAATTTTGGAAAACTTTAAACTTCGTATTTATACAAAGATCGTGTGCACGGTGGTCAATTCCGGCCAAAAATGATTTCTTTCAATTATTTAATTCTGCTAAATTTTTGATGGTAGATTATAGCTAACACTTCAAATCATACAATTTATATCAAATTTTGATTATAGCTTAATCTTGTGACTGTTTATACATATGAAAAGTTGATAATTTTTTGCCTGTCATTTTAAGGTTTTTAGACACATAAGTGAAGGCTATGATTTTTCCTTAAAATTTGTCTTTGTAAATTTTAATACAGTCTTATTAAGTAATCATTCCATGTGGTTATTGCGATTTTGTGAGGTTTCATTTTTGGATAAATTAAGTGATTGTGGCCTACTTTAAAAGCTAAAAAAGCTATACAAATCCAAATTTTGAAAGACCGTACAAAAGGAAAAGGGGCTATAAGAGCCCAGCAAAAAATAATTGATGTCATACTTTACAAACGACATCTTAATCACATCTAAAAATGCGATTGCATACTTTTCGCTTTTATAACCCAGCAAAAAATAATTGATGTCATACTTTACAAACGACATCTTAATCACATCCAAAAATGCGATTGCATCCCAGCAAAAAAAGTGTGGAAAAAGATGTAGAATTTTCATCACAACTAGTAACCCGAAGTGCTTCAAATTCAGGTGAAAAACCTATGAATTTTACATTAGCGTGTCATTGGAGGGATGTTGTTCATTTTTGACAACTTTGAACTACATCTAATCTTATCTTTAGAAGCTGTAAAAATCCGATATTTGTATTTCAAAAATAAACCACATTCTTTCAATGAAACGCTTATGTAAATTTCATTGGTTTTTCATCAAAATTTGAAGTACTTCGAATATGTTGTTTGTAGTGACTTTTCTACATCTCTTTTCTCATTTTTAACTGTGTTTTAATTTGTAAGTATATGTTTGGTTTATAAAAGCGAAAAGTATGCAATCGCATTTTTGGATGTGATTAAGATGTCGTTTGTAAAGTATGACATCAATTATTTTTTGCTGGGATACTTTTCGCTTTTATAAACCAAACATATACTTACAAATTAAAACACAGTTAAAAATGAGAAAAGAGATGTAGAAAAGTCACTACAAACAACATATTCGAAGTACTTCAAATTTTGATGAAAAACCAATGAAATTTACATAAGCGTTTCATTGAAAGAATGTGGTTTATTTTTGAAATACAAATATCGGATTTTTACAGCTTCTAAAGATAAGATTAGATGTAGTTCAAAGTTGTCAAAAATGAACAACATCCCTCCAATGACACGCTAATGTAAAATTCATAGGTTTTTCACCTGAATTTGAAGCACTTCGGGTTACTAGTTGTGATGAAAATTCTACATCTTTTTCCACACTTTTTTTGCTGGGAAACCAAACATATACCCAGCAAAAAAAGTGTGGAAAAAGATGTAGAATTTTCATCACAACTAGTAACCCGAAACCTTTAAAATCTTATTTTTAGAAGCAGTAAACATCCGATATTTGGATGTCAAAAATAAAACACATTCTCTTAATGACACGCTTATGTAAATTTCACTACTCTTTCACCAAATCTGATGTACTTCAAATATGTTATTTGTAATGACTTTTCCACATCTCTTTCCTCACTTTTAACTGGGGTTTCATTTGTAAGGAAATATTTGGTTTATAAAAGTGAAAAATAAGTAATCGCATTTTAAGATGTGATTAAGATGTAGTTTGTAAAGTATGACATCAATTATTTTTTGCTGGGCCCAGCAAAAAAAGTGTGGAAAAAGATGTAGAATTTTCATCACAACTAGTAACCCGAAGTGCTTCAAATTCAGGTGAAAAAGCTGTGAATTTTACATTAGCGTGTCATTGGAGGGATGTTGTTCATTTTTGACAACTTTGAACTACATCTAATCTTATCTTTAGAAGCTGTAAAAATCCGATATTTGTATGTCAAAAATAAACCACATTCTTTCAATGAAACGCTTATGTAAATTTCATTGGTTTTTCATCAAAATTTGAAGTACTTCGAATATGTTGTTTGTAGTGACTTTTCTACATCTCTTTCCCCATTTTTAACTGTGTTTTCATTTGTAAGGATATGATTGGTTTATAAAAGCGAAAAGTATGCAATCGCATTTTTAGATGTGATTAAGATGTCGTTTGTAAAGTATGACATCAATTATTTTTTGCTGGGTATCCTTACAAATGAAAAACAGTTAAAAATGGGGAAAGAGATGTAGAAAAGTCACTACAAACAACATATTCAAAGTATGAATTTTGATGAAAAACCAATGAAATTTACATAAGCGTTTCATTGAAAGAATGTGGTTTATTTTTGACATAAAAATATCGGATTTTTACAGCTTCTAAAGATAAGATTAGATGTTGTTCAAAGTTGTCAAAAATGAACAACATCCCTCCAATGACACGCTAATATAAAATTCATGGTTTTTCACCCGAATTTAAAGTACTTCGGATTACTAGTTGTGATGAAAATACTACATCTTTTTCCACACTTTTTTTGCTGGGATATTAATTTACTGTTAAATTAATATTGAAGGATTTTAAGAATATTTATTATACTCTGATTTATAGTGAAATATTGAAAAAAATAACGCTATGTGACGGCTATAGACGTTATTTCCATTTACGAGCAACCGTGCTCGACGTCTATAGCCCTCATTTACGTCAACGTGTTAAATACAAAATTTTTATTAATTATCCTATCAAACACTTCTAATCTAATTTTTGATGTATTCTGATGAAAAATACAGTTATACGTCTTCTTTAAGACTTTGGTTAACTGGGAGGGAGGGCGTGTCCTTGGGACGATTTTCCATCTACCAAGTAAACATGAAATCCAAAAGGCCCTAAGTTACAAAAAATCAAAACCGACTTTTTGATTTATTATGATGCACCGTATCAAAATACATGTTCCTGCTAAATTTTACACTCCTACAATTAAAATCAACGTCCCTATCTTCGAAATTCTAAAAGACATGTTCTAAAAATACCTTAAAATTCATGAAAATTTTTAAATTCTTTTGAATTTTTAACATCGAAATTGTAAAATGTTATATGTTGGCATCAAATAAAACATAAACGGCACTTTTAGCGAAACCTTGCGATTTATGCATTTTTTTAACAGCTTTAGAATTTTTTCAAAGAAAAATCCCAATTTCCAAAAATCTTTATGAAAACGAAGAAGCCTTATGCTTTCCACGTTTCGGCATATTTGACCAACAAAAACCGATTTTAATTTAGTTAAAAATGTTGAAACTTACTATTTTTTAATGTAACTTACGCTCTTTTGGGTTTTATAAAAAACAAATTCTCAAGGGCGTATGTTTCATATCTGCATAAGTAAAACAAAAACCCCAATTTTTTTCTTCAAATACTAATTTGTCAATAAAAAATAAGCTTCACTTTAGAAAATGTTGAAAATTTTTGGATTATTTATCATTTTAGAAGGTTTTTTTGCTTCTCCTGAAAATTTTGTTCATGTAACTTAGGGCTTTTTGGATTTCATATGACGATATTCTAATTTGGAATGTACTCTGATGAAAAATATAGATTCATAGGTGTTTTGACGTTTTAGGTTATATGGGAGGTGGGTGTGTCCTTAAAATTTAAATTTTTTCTAAATTACTCTTAATTATCTGACACTAAGCGGGAAAAATTTCCGGGAATTCGGAAATACTGGGAAAATTATATAAAATGAACAACATCCCTCCAATGACACGCTAATGTAAAATTCATAGGTTTTTCACCTGAATTTGAAGCACTTTGGGTTACTACACTGAAAATAATCCATGCTTAACTTTACGAAAAAAAATTTTGTA